AGGTACATCAGCTCAGTTCCAGCTGACGCTCATACCGCTAGTTACGGGTTCGGCTTCGATCAAACTTTTACGGCTGCAGCTGATGCTGAATATGCGTGGTTGTGGGGTTAGATTTCCGTCAGGTACACCGGCGCGGTCGCAGCTGGTGTTGAAAAAGTGCTTGTGGGCTTGGTTTCCGTCAGACATCCTCAGCTGATGCTCATAATGCTTGGTTGCAGAGCTTGACTCCTAACGTTCCTAGGAATGTTCTTGGCTCCTACTGATAATGCTACACCGGAATGGTCGCAGCTGGCGTTCAAATTGAGTGGTCCCAACTCAAGCCCATAGCGGTTGGCTGTGAGGCACGATGTTTATTTAGCACATTAAATTAGGTGTGTTTGCGGGGGCCCCATGTTGCCGGATACACCAGAGCGTCCCAGCTGATGCTGGTGATTCCCCGATCTCGTGTTATTCGGGAGCGGTCCCAGCTGATGCTCATGATGCTTGCCTGCGAGGTTTTCATTTCGGTCCTGTACACCGGAGCAGTTCGGGCTGATGCTCACAATGCTCCGTTGTGGGGTTCGGCTTTGGTGAACTAGTCATGTTTAGGAGTGGTCCCAGTCGATGCCCATGATGCATAGCTGCGAGGCGCGATCTGTGGACTTAAGGGGGGTCCAATCGATGCGCATGATGCGTCTTTGCGGATCCCGATGTTGCCCAGACAAAGCAGTCCCGGCTGATGGTCATGATCCGTGGCTGCAGCTGATGCTCATGATGCTGGCTAGTGTTTGTGTTTCGGTCTGGTACGCTGCGTCGTGGGGCCCGGTTTCGGTTGAATAGTGCTGGTCGGCAGCTCGTGATGCGTGACTGTGGGGGTTGGATCGCAGTCAGGTACATCAACTAAGTCCCAGCTGACACTTACAACGCTGCCTATGGGGCTCGGTTTCGGTGAGGCATTAGCATGCGTTAGCGATATGTGGCTGCAGGGTTTGAATTTGGCTCATAATGCTTGGTTGCGGGGCTTTGTTTCGACTACATACCTGGGAGCGATCCCGGCTGAAATGTCATTATGCTTGGTCGTCGTTCGTTCGGCTTCAGTATGGCTGTGGCGCCCAATTTCGACCTTCGGATGGTGCCGAATGATGCACACGATGCAGAGTTGTTGGGTTTTGTTCTGTTTCCGCTCGGATACACCGGGTCCCCATGCTCATAACGCTTGGCTGCTCAGCCTGATTCCCGACAGTCTTTGGATCGATCCTAGCAGATGCTCGTGATGTGCGGCTGTTCGGCCAATCTCGGTCAGTAAGCCGGAGCATGATTCTGATAATGCTTGGTTGTGTTGCCCGATGACGGTCAAATACTTAGGAGCGATCCCAGCTGATGCTCACGATGTTAGATTGTGGTTCGATTTGGCAGATTTTAGGAGTGGTCCCAGTGGACGCCCATAATGCATAGCTGCGAGGCACGATCTGTGGACCTTCCCAACGTGCATGATGCGTGTTTGCGGGGCTCGACCTTGCCAGATACACCGGAGCGGTCCCAGCTGATTTTCGTGATGCATGGCTGCGGGCCAGATGTCGGTCTGATATTCGGGAGCGGTCCCAGCTGATGCTCACGATGCCTGGCTGTCAGGCTTTCATTTCGGTCCTGTGCACCGGAGCGCTTCGGACTGATGCTCATGATGCTCCGTCGTGGGGCTCGGTCTCGATTAAACAGTCACGGCGTTGCCGATTGATGCTCGTGATGCGTGCTTAGGGGCTGGGGTACATCAGCTGCGAAACAGTTGTTGGCGCTAGCAGCTCAGGATGTAGGTTTATATGTCAGTCGAGGGCACCGGAGCCGTCGCTGCTGATGCTTGCTTGCGGGCTTGGTTTCGGTCAGATAGGAGCGGTCCCAGCTGATGCTCATAATGCTTGGTCCTGGGGCTCGGTGTCGGATAAACAGTCACGGTGTTGCCGACTGATGATTTTAACGCGTGCCTAGGAGCTGGGGCACGATCAAGTACATCAGCTGCCAAACTTTTTTTTGCGCCGGCAGACATAGGTTTTTATGTCAAATCGACAGCCCCGGGGCTGTCGCTGCTGATGCTTGCTTGGAGTTTTCTCAGCGCAAGATGGTGAACGCCATCAAGATGCTTTCGCCCACACGGCCACCATGGAAGCCGTGACAAGGATGGGCGGTTACGCAGTGGGAGGGTTGATTCCGTGGCTGATGCGAGGCCCTGAACTTTTTGCTTGGTTCTCGCTTGACATTCAACCTTGTGTCCGTCATTGAATCTAAACTGGAAATCTCATGCTACACCTGATGTATTTCCGGGAAGTAGACCGGAGCTGTTCCCAGCGGATGCTCATGATGAGTGGTTTTTGGGCTGTATTTCGGTTCGGTACACCGCGTGGGTGGCTGTTCGGTTGAATTGGACGGTTGTGGGCCTTGTCAGTTACTTTGGAGCAGGCCCAGCTGATGAGCTCAATGCTTTTCTGTGGGCTCTATTTCGATCAAACACACGAAAGCAGTTCCAGCTGATGAGCTTGATGGGTGGCCTTGGGGCCGCATTTCGACCAGTGTGAAAAGTCGGCGGCAGTTTGCACGTCACGGTCCCTGGCTGTGTCCACGAATTTTCCTTCAGTAGCTGTTAACTGTTAACAAGCCCCCAACACTTTTCAACCTAAGCGCGGAACTTCCAAGATTTGTGTTTCTGTCCTTGGTAAGTGCGTCCTGTCGTTGGGGATTCACATGATACTGGAACGATCCTTCTGTGGCGGGCGGCTGCATTAAAACCGTCATACATGAAAAAGATCTTTCCTTAGAAGCGCACCAACCCCGTCTTCAAAACTTTAACATTCCCCGGAACTTTGTGCAAGTGTACCAGAAGGCTTAAACCGTGAGCCTGAACCCCTATAAACCCTACACAGGACGAATCGGGAAGCTCTTCGTTTAGATACGTCCCATGTGACTGACCCTTAAGCCCTGAATGCTCAATACCGGTCACCTCAAAACCAGCATCCTACCCAGGTCATCAAGGTACCTGCGCTGCTGATCGGTCCTGGGGGCAACCCATGCGAACCTTTCGCAGCAGGATGTCTTTGCTGAAGCGTGCTCAAGGTTTGGGGCGGTTGTGGTTCAATCTTGAGGTGCTTGCTGTTCGAAGCTGTGCTTTTCGCAGATTATTCATGCCTTTGGCGGCACGTTGTGAAAGGTGTACGGCCCTGCATTGGAATCCCATGAAAGGTTTAAACACTATCATACACCCCAAGTTTGAGTTCGCACCCACTCATTGCAGTACCCGAAGAACTACAACTGCTAGCCCACGGAAGTGTTGATGATTGAGTCTTAAGTGGTTTGAAAATACGTGGTTGAAGTTAGGGCTCAGGGTGCAGAGTTCTTCAGGTGCAGAGTTGAGAACATAGCGTTGTAGGATTTGGATACTTTCATGTTTGCCTTACCAGGTACGGCTTCAGGCTTTCTTTCGGGCAAAGAAGAAGCATGCAAGGCAGCAAGGACTGTTTGCTTCTGGGGGTCAGGGCCGTTAGGGTTGGATGGTCTCGGTAGACCCGTCTGCGTGTACGGGCGTCTGTAGCTGTCCATCATGTCACAAAATCCCTAGAACTCCCAACCCATGAAATCCGTTCGCCTTCAAGCATCAGAGAAGATTACTGTAATATGGGGGCCTGAATAGTTACCGATAACATTCCTCAGGGTTCCCCATTGCAGTTACGCGGCTCTATACCCCAAAATCTCTATCTGAGCCGAAGACCCATCAAGCTGCTCAGCGATCCCGAACGCTCAACTCCGAAACCTCGAGCCGATGACCCCTTCCATGAGATGGGAGTTTCCGAGAAATAGGGGACCCTAATATAGTACCCTAACTACTAAGATCCTTATCATAAGGACTCCAAAATAAGGTACCCCTAATTTTCGGAAACTCCCAAATTTCGGCACCTCGGGTTCAGGGTTCAGCGTCGGAGCGCCTTGGCCCCGAAACCCGAAAGCCCTAACCAAGGAAATGATGGTGCCGAATCCTTTCGATGGAGACGGAGGATTTCGCTTTGCGGCGCTGACAAAGACTGCGGTGAAGCTTTGGGAGCCTCCTGGTTTGATGGATTTCTGGGTTTAGGGCCTTTAGGGTTTAGGGTTTACGTGGTTTGAAAGGTTTCTGGGTTTAGGGTGTAGGGTGGCAGCAGGTTTGCTGGGTTTTTCTTCGAGTTCGAGTCACAGGATTACGCATGACATGTGATGTTGGGGTCTCGTTTCGGAATGAAACACTGTTCAGGATTGAACCTTGAACCTTGAGCCCCCAAAGAAAACGCAATCTAAAACCCAAATCCTGTTTTTGGTTTCAGGTTTAGTTTCGGTTTAGTTTATTGCTTAACAGTTCGTGCTAGCCCAGGCCCCCCTTAGTTCAGCTTGGGGTTTTGTCATGCGCTCTTGTCACACATGTTGTAGCTACTTATGGTGCTGCGTCTGCTTCACATAGGGTAACCGCATAAAGCAGTGCTTGGGCGAACAAGCTCCTGCTCTGTTGGTCGTGCCCACTTCTGATAGCTTTGCTTATTGTATGTCACGGCTTCAGGTTTCGCATTGCTTCCTCGATCAGCTTTGCCTAACCCCGCGCATTGGTTCAAGGTACCGGCAAGCCACACAGGAGGTGAAAAGTAGCTCTGTGGTCTTCGGCAAGAGCCGTGGCGGCACCAATTCGGGCGAAGTGTCGGAGGTTGTGTGCCCGCGAGCTTTGCTGACCTTTTCTAGAGGGGAAGATGGGGTGAAGCTGCTTTAGTCGCCGTTCACCATGCAGATCAGGCATGACACAGGCAGTTCTCAGTCGAGGCGGATTTTATCGAACCCCTACGAAGCCCCATCGTGTTAGGAGTGGGTCACTCATCCAGTGCTTAGGCGGTTTGTCTTGCTTGCCAAAATTGGAGCATGTCGCTGCATCCGTCCTATGATGTAAACTGTCTACAGCGACCCCCGAAACACCCGACAGCTGTCTCCATGTGCCCGTCCGGAGGAATCCACAGCAGCAGATGACTTATGTTGCTTATGTCGACAAGGGGCATCTTCTCATGTGCGGTGTCTCGGACTGCACATACGAGTGCAAAGATTGTTTGTCCAGCCCTTTCGAAATGGAAGCTGTTCAAGTGCGGCTGCCCGGTACGCGAGCCCAAGCAGCCCTTTCTCTCAACCTCACGACTCGTAGCGTTTTCAGGCAAAGATGGCCACCTCTACAACGTCCTGCTCTCAGAGCAAGCTTGTCCGGATGGCTAGGATTATTTGCCGCCTTCTCTTTCTGATGCGGTATGTTTCTCAATCCACAATGTCTAGCAAGTGAGGCGATTGAAATCATCATGGCAGTAGTGTGCAATGAAACGAGGGCAGCGGTCGGAATGATGTGTAATGATGTTGTCGACGTGCAGAAGCATCGACTGTCATGATGTTCTTGTTTGCAACAACATTAGCACCACCCCCACCCCCACCCCCACCCCACCGCCAAGTAGTAGCAGTAGCAATAGCAGTAGCAGTAGCAGTAGCAGTAGCAGTAGCAGTAGCAGTAGCAGTAGTGGTAGTGGTAGTGGTAGTGGAAGTGGTAGTAGTAGTAGTAGTAGTAGTAGTAGTAGTAGTAGTAGTTGTTGTACTAGTAGTAGTAGTAGTAGTAGTAGTAGTAGTAGTAGTAGTAGTAGTAGTAGTAGTAGTAGTAGTAGTAGTTGTTGTTGTTGTGGCAGTAATATAGCAGCACCAGTAGCAGCAGTAGCAGTCGTAGTAGCAGCAGTAGCAGTCGTAGTATTAGCGCTCGTAGTAGTCGTAATAGTCGTAGTCGTAGTCGTAATGTTGGTAGTAACAGTAGCAGTAGCAGCAGGAGGAGGAGGAGGAGTAGTATGAGTATGAGTATGAGTATGGGTATGAGTATGAGTATGAGTATGAGTATGAGTATGAGTATGAGTATGAGTATGAGTAGTAGTGATTAGTGGTATATGGTAACATCAATAGTGATAGTACTGACTCTTCCGGCCAACCGAAGGTGGAGGGAGGAACCTGCCACAACTCTGCGTCTGTCTCCAGCTCCCTTGGTTGCGCAGTCCCCCTGGGCCATTGCAAAGGCTTGGAAGCTCTGCTGTGGGTGTTCGTTGAATGGTCTGAGCTGAACTAGGAGTTGCAGATGACACACTAGTCACTACTTTTTCAGAAGGCGTGCTTCTTGACATATCTTGGAAATTCTACTCGACTGCTTATTGTTAACGCGGCCACAGAGGTTCTGAGTTCTGAAAGCGATTTCCTGCCTCCGCAGCGATGTCCACCGTCCCAGCTCGCCGGCGCACCAGCCCCGGCTTCGCCTTGCTGGCTCTTGCCCTCGGCTTAGCAGGGCTTCGTGCCGGCAACGCCTTCGCTGGGGCGCGTGCTGCGCTCTCTTCCACAAGGATTGCAAGGTCCGCCCTCGACAAGGATCTGGTCCAAAGCTCTTGGGCGGAAGTTTGTCCAGACACTTCCAAGGAGACACTCACGGCCGTGGGTACGGTGATCTTTGATGCTTTGTTTGAGACCGATCAGTCCACCAAAGACCTCTTCAGCTTCGGCGACCGTCTAAATGAGGCCGAGCAGAAGAAGTTCGATAAGCATGTCGCGGGCTTCACCCAGACAGTGGACAAGGCGGTGAAGGGTTTGGACGACATCCCCACGTTGCTGCCGGTGCTGAACTACCTTGGTGAGCGGCATGCCTACCACGACGTCACCAAGGAGCACTACGATGCAGCAGGCAAGACCTTGCTGGCGGTTCTTGAGAAGGTGCTGGAGCCGAAGGGGCTTTGGACGCCAGAAACCAAGGAGTCCTGGACGGAGGTCTGGAAAGTGATGGACAGCGAGATGCGAAAGGGCCAAGGCATCGCTTGACGAGATCCTTCGTGCCAACGACATGAGCTTGTGAACTTGGCTAGGCCCACAAAGGGAATACTGGTATATAGTTTTGAGTCGATTCAGAGTATGGCTAAAGTTGCTAAAGCATCAGCCGATCCAAGCATGCACATGACATGCAGTTCCGACGCCGGCCTTTATGCATCGCGCCCGTGTCATCAGAGCAAGAAAGGTGGAATCGAGCAAAAAGTCAGCGAAGCAAGTTAGGATGTTCGGTGGTAAGGTTTTGGTTGTTTCAGGCCTTGGGGCTTGAAGATTGCAGTTCTACGTTGCTTGGGCTTTCGGGTATGCAAGCTGACTGTTGAAGCAGGTTCTGCGTATCACTTCGCTGTTGCCGCCAGCGATGGCAGCTTCATGCTGGGCCGCACGGAGCAGGCAGGGGTGTAGGCTGTAGGCTGGGTTGCTTGAAGGAGTTTTGGGGGCCTCGCGCAGTTCGAGCTGGGAATGCTTAGTAAATGCTTGTTTGGGTATTGCGCTCTGGCTCATAATAGATCTCGTGCTCGGACCTATAGCTTCTCGAGAAAGCAAGCTGTGTTCGGTAATTACATCTTTCTCGCATCCTTGAACTTTGGACTCGTAATGTGGGGGTCGGTTTAATTGAAGGGTCCCCCCCCCGACCAAAAAAGAAATCTATTTAATATGGAACCGGTGACGCCGGACAGGGGTCAGGGGTCTGAGTGGGGCTCAGGGTCTGGGTGGCTTTGATTAATTAAGTAAATTAGAAGGGGGTTGCGGGGTCGCAGCTAGGGTCTGGGTGGCTTTGATTAATTAAGACAATTAATTAAACAATTAGAGGGAATCGGGAGTCTCGGGGTTTGGGCGCCTAAGTAGAAGGCTTTGGGGGGTTTTGTAGGGTTTGGTGCTTAATCAATTAATTAAGTACTCGGGCTTAAGAGGGTTCTGTAGGTTTCGGGAGCTTTGCAGGGCCAGGGTTTTAGGGTTTGGGTGGGGGCTTCAGGTTTTAGGCTTAATTAAGCATGCCTAGTTTAGGTCTTCAGGGCCAGGGTTTTAGGGTTTGGGTGGGCTTCAGGTCGTGGCTGCCTTAAGATTGACCATCAGCAGACAGCACAAACACCCACCCCAAAAGTCCCCCCAGCCAAAAAAAACGCATTAATGAGTACCCCGAAATTTTTGGTCAGATTCGGAATTAGCCCCCGAGCCGACGCATTAAAGGAGCCTATATTCCTAAACCGACCCCCACATTACCCCTCGTCGCTTCAGGGGGCTTCAGGGGGCTTCTAGGGATTCGAGTCACTCCGTAACCCCCAAGCCTCTCGCAAGGAGGAGGCCGTTCGGGGTAAGAAGCAGAAGCTGGGGCACAGGCCGATGACAGGGTCCAGGATCCTAGGATTCTCGGTCAAGGGTTGTCGCAACTGTTCTTGATTTTTGATTTTCGGGCTTCGCTTGCATTGGAGGATTGTTCGCCACTTCAAGGCCTGCGGGGTTTAGGCGAATCTGGGAACTGGGGATCTGGATCCTCCTGACTCAGTCATCGGATTCGGCTTCGGGACTGAAGGTCGGGAGTTTTGGGCCTTTCGGCTTTGGGATGCTTGCGAGGCTTCGCGGAGCTTGTTGCGAGGAGGTCTGAAAGACGAAACCCCGCATGTGTCAAACCCTGTAGGCCCAAAGCCCGAGATTTCATGTCGGACAGCCAGGAGATAAGTAGATGGATAGACAGATGGGTGGATTTTCCTGCAACTCCAAGTTTGAGGCGCACGAGAATTTTTGTTCTGGGTTTAGATTGGTCATCATAACCATAAATGTACCAGAAAACTGTTCCTTGTAGCACAAGCAGGAAGAACAAGAGGAAGAACAAACGCAATAGAAGCCTTAGGGGCTTAAAATTTAGGGCACGGGTTCCTGAAGCGCTTAATACGGGGAATTCGATTCGACAGACATGCATTATCGCCGGCAATTCCTGAGTCGACCGCGTTAGCTCTCGACGACGGTATTTCGCTTGGCAATTTGGAGTAGTAGGTTCTGGGTTACAGCGCAAGCGTATAGGATTTAGAATGAAATCCTTGACGCATGGCATCCCGCTTTTTGAAGACTTTAACAGGAGGTACGGGAGTGTTAGCAGCGTACTAGGCTGAGCTAGGAACTTGGAGCCCCTAAATATTTCACAGCCAAGGCCTTGCGTCATCGTCCGCTTTAATCTGGGGGAGGTTCCTGCGGAGCCGAACCAGGCGGCTGCAGCAACTGCAGCAACACTACTATAATATGGGGGCCTAGCACAATCCGGGAGTGAATCGTAGTAGGAATTCCAGAACATGGACCAGTATTGCCACGCAAAAAATAGTTACAATAGTTTGCTCTGTAGTCCTCTAAATTGTTGCAATGTTGTGGAAGCAACTGCTAAATCTGCAAGAGCGACGACCCAATAAATGTTGTTGTCTTTCTTTGTCCGCGGCTGTACATGACATGTACATACGTACACACGTACATATATACATACATACCTCCCATATGCTGATAAAATCGAACGGGCAGTCGTGAATTCGATTGAGCATATAGACTTGCGGCAGAGAGACTCGGTGAGCTCGCCGAAGCCTGGCTGGAGATGCAAGAGGCAGAGAGCGTGCGCTTTTTGCCAAGCCAGGGGAGTGCGTTATGCTGGCGTCAGGAACTATGGGTCTAGGCAGTTTGACGAGCTGCTCAGCTTCGTCCACTGGGTCGAGAAAGATTCGTGGATCAGGGTCGTTTGTACGCTGTTGGAACCTTCTGCTTATTTGTTAATGCATGGTTGTGAGGTTCTGGAGGTGCTTTTTAGCAGTTTAGCACTTACCGGGCTGCTGTGTTGAGGAAAACTTTCGGTTTGTGTCAGCTTCCTCGCTGTCCTGACTCGTGTTGGTTTCACGAAGATCATATTGCAACCAACCATGCCGACAGCAGTTTACAGCGCCAGCGGCAAGGACAAGAGCCATCATCGCAACTTCGGCGGAGGGGAGTGACCAAGAACAAACGACCAGGTATTGATGATAAATTTGTTCCGAGAATTTGTTACCACCAAGTTGATATGTTCAGCACATGATACCAAGACTCGCTCGGAGGTTTGGCCGAAAGATCTGCGTCCCCACTGGAAGAGTTTGCAAGTAAATGCTGCTTGGATGAAATCGAAGTTGGCAGACTTTCATTCGCGCACGAAGTTCATGGTTTCGAGATGGTTTGTTGTAAGTTTTGCTCGTAACTGTCAGGTTGCTTCTCAAACACTGGCATGGCAAACGAAGCTGAGTCCTAATCTCAAGCCCCAATATGCTGGGAGCCGAAACCCTGAACGCTAGGTAACTAAAGCAGTAAAGTCGGACACTCATCGAGCTCGGTGCTCATTCAATCCAGTAGGGCTTTCAGTGTAGGACCAGTGCAGGATTGAGGCTTCATGGCTTTCGATCGTTGCCCTCGGGCATTGGATAGATCCCGTTGATTGCAGAGACCCTTGAATTCAATTTTCGCACTGAATCCGCAAGTGCCCAGACCTTGAATGATCGAAACTGCTTAAACCTATCTACATCATTGCAGGCGGACGGGTATACAACACCCTCAACAGAATCGGGCGTAGAGGCGATAAGAGCAGTGACCAGGAAATGGGGCCAGTTCGCCAGGATCCTTCTCTGAGTTGTCAGGGCACGTTGCCTATCATTGCCTCACCACCAGCACTAGGATGCAACGGGTCCACGCTGAACGCCTGAGTTCAGAACCGTACTCGTTGTCGAGGCTTATTAAGGTCATCGCTGCTCTTGTTAATGGTACTGCCATTCTTATTGACTTATTGTCACTGGTATTTGTATCGTTGCCTGTATCGCTCTCCAGGAGCAAGGTCTCTGCATAGCCGCCTCCGCCGGCCATGTGCTAGTTCTTTTGGACCTGGGCCTTCGAGCAGGACAGGTAGTCAGGATTTGCTTTTGTGGCGGGAGGGGGAGGGGGGGAACCTGATGCTAGGAGGTTTGGGTTTTCGGGTCGACGCGGTGTATCTGCTGTAGCTGGTGTTGAGAGGAAAGAAAACTTGATCGGCTGTTGGAAGACTGAAATGTCCAGCTCCTGACCAAATGGAGGTGTAGTTTCTGGTGTTGTCAGGAAGCCTAAGTCATGTGTTTCAAGCGTCGTCAGTTGAAACCGGCTCGGCTGGCAGAAGTCGCTGACTTTCTCAAATTCTGGACTTCGTGGCATGTTTTGTATTTCGGAGGGAGAGCTGCTAACAGCGAAAGTCCAGGACATTGCAGTTTCGCGTGTCGCGGCCTTTCCTCAGAAGATGGTGTTAGCTAAACAAGTTGGAGCCGAACCAGTATGTTCCACGCTGGAAGGATGAATGGAAATCTTGGGTTCTTCGGAAGCCAGTGCTGCTCAGTTTCTCATGCAATAATAATTCCTAAACGAAGCTGGGCAACGGATTACGAAGGAGCGGACGGGATAAATGTCCAGGCTCCTACACGGCAAGCCTGATACCTGAAACACTGGGATTGAGAACAGGATCCAGCCGTCGGCTGCTTCGTGTCTTGCAGGCTGCCGGATGTGTTAGGTTTTGAAGGCTTCGATTCGCTTGATATCTCAAACCCGAAGCCAGTAGCGAAGCTTGGAAGCTTGCGTGACAAGGCCGTCATGGCCAGAGACCAGATCCCTAAACCCTAAGTGGTTTGGCTGTTTAAAAGAAGCTCTGAGCCTTTGGGGTTCAGGCTTTGGGACCGCCTGGGGTGAGCAGAGACTAGAAACACTGGAGGGACAAGGTCTGGAGGCCTGGGGAGCTTGAATCTGGCAGCCAGGGTTTAGGGCTGCTGAGTCCTAGGGTCGTAGGTTTCAGGGTTTAAAGTTTAGGGTTGAGGGAGAGTTTCACAGCTCGGCACCACAGGAAACGCACTTAGCCAAACCATGTCCTCCTAGCAAACGGGACGACATTCATTGAGGTCAAGCAAACTACCGAAGCCCGCAGTCCGGACTGTCTAAGGTGGGTCACAAGGTTGAAGCTTTTGCGCTGGCACCACACCCGAAGATTCTAGAGCTCTGCGCCACCGGCGACGAGCGGGGTGCCACTCGGCTGGTAAGTTCGAGGGGCCCAGGGCCGATCATTCCTACGAATTTCGGTTGCAATGCCTGCGGACGTGTGTCTGGAGCGCGCTGCCCACGATTTTGAGGGTTGTGTTGTGCAAAAGTATTTTGTGGGAAGTTATACCAGGCTCACAAGAGTATTGTCACAGTGATGTAGGATCATGTTACACCAGGCCCATAGGATCATAAGAGCTTTTCCGGGCGGCGGATGGGGGGTCGAAAAGTGACGTAGGGCCATGGTATCCAACGAGGGTTTGAAGTTTGTTTGCAATCCTGGTTCAGAGCTCTGGTTTGGCCCCTTGTGGATGGAGCATGTTGCCGAAGGACACTTTACCGTGATGACTTTAAAATAGCATTATGCCCACCCTCAGCCGCACAGCACAGCTGCTCAGGTGATTCACTTCTGGGACTTGGAGGCCTACTGCGGATGACTAAGACCTATGGCTAAGGAAGTCGTGGTTGCATTACGAACCGAGTCATTTTGTTTGTATTGCATACTGGACTGTTACACGATACTGCGATGCGAACATCCATCACAGCCACAGAAGGAGGTCTGCAAAACGCGGCGAAAAAAGGAGTGATAAGTGGTTGTAGCTACGAACGAGTTTGACAATATTCTGCAGATGCAGCGAGTTGTTGAGATGATCCGCCCCGATGGAAACCTGGGAATGAACCAGGGATCAGGCTATCCGGGCCGGATCTTCTCTTTAAGGTTTGAGGCTTCGAGACAAATCACTGTTTGCGTGACGTAGATATTTGAGGATCTGGAGGTGCAACTTTCTCCGGCTTGATGCAAGCTCTTTTCGACATGGCATTCCAACATGGATAGAATTATCGGGTAGAACCTGGACAGTATGGATGGATATTGGGCAAACCACATGGTCAAATTTCTTATTCCCCATCCCCTACCTATTAAGCGGCTATTACCACAGGAGCTCATCATTGCTTTGGCGCCCGAACATACGAAGCAGCTTACCAGTGACCGCTTCAAGTTACCCCACACTACCAAAAAAGCCTAGAATCCTAAAGCAGCCCCTGGCCGCACAAACCCTCATAGGGTTTGGGGGTATACGTTGCGATAAGTAACATGGAACTCAGGAATGGTATTACTACATAAGTATGCATGCTTCTATTTTACACCTTGAGAGCTCTAAGTCCAAACCAGAGCCTCCAAACCCTAGACTAAACCCCTAAACCCTGAGCCTAAACCCTCCCTTCTAGGCCAAGAAGCCCCTCCTCCACAAGATGTACCGGTCGGACCTCGCCGTCCGAAGCCTTGCCTTCTCCCCTGAAGGCCGGAAGGGTTCAGGTTCTGTAGGGCAATACTTGTTTGGGTTCCCTTGTTGCTTGATATGCGGGATACCTCAGGTGTCTTTGGATTTAGGAGGCCGGAGGCCACCAGAGTCATGACCCGATATGTTGAAATCCACACTATCCTGCAGAATTTTGATGTCGGGCCGGGCCTGGTGCAGAGAGCTGAGTGAAGGACTGGGGCGGACCGGTCTGCAAGCCTGGTGTTTGCGGGGGTCACGGGTCATCGGATGTGCATGGTCCTTGGCTGTATATGATTTCTTTGAAGTGTTTGCAGACACCAAGCGGCCTGGGGTGTGCGTGCAGCCCTCCTCAGAATATAGATACCGTTGAATACGGATTCAGCGCAACACTGCCACGTGCCACCTCCAGCCAATACAGCAATCCTCGACGCTGCCATCACAACGTCCACCATCCAAACCACAGCCATCCGGGAGGCGACATGCTGGCTTTGGGGCAGTCAACTGGTCTCCTGAAGCTCTTGGACTTCCCCTCGCTTGAAGGACTGGATCTGTGACACTCAGATTTGAAGGTGCTGCACGGTAGTACTGGCGGTGCAGCTTTGATTCTATGGGAAATGAAGCAGAAACTTTTCTCCGAGGTAGCTGTGCATCTCTTAGGCATATTGATTGGCACCATGAAATCGTGGCACGGAGTTACAGAGATGGGCAGATGGTAGGAGATGCTTCTACGGCTTCGGCAACAACGATTCACAGCATTTTGCCTGTAGTATCTCCGAAGCGACCGGAAGTCGAACCAAAGCCTAAGGCATGAAATCCTCACCCGTCTGTTTGGATGCTCCAGACGCAAGAAGGAGCTCAAAAAAGGAAGCACACTTAAACCCTCACGCTTCCAAAGCCACCGAGCAGGCATCTTCCACCGCCGGCTTTCGCGTCCGGGGAAGGCCTTGCCTCGAGTTTGAAGGGAGTTGTTCACTTTAGGGTCCGGGTGCACAGAACATGGACTTTGTGTTGGTTGTTCCAAACTTGGGAACCAGTTCTAGAGTTTGGAGGATTTGCTTTTTGCTCTAGGGTTTGGGCTTTACTTTGGACCAAGCCATAAGGGTGTAGGCTGGTTTCGGGGTTTCTTTGCGTGGCACTGCGGCTTACTGTAGGGGATTTTCCAATTCGAACCAATCTCGGGCTCGAGATACAGATTCTCGGGACACGGGCCTCGATGAACCACGATGCACCCCCGAAGCTTGTCTTGCCAGAAACCCTAACTTCCAGAGTCCTTCGCTCCCGCAAGGATGGGGAAGTGCTATCTTGGATCGCCTTCTCGAACTATGCTGACAGTCACTTGATCCAGAGGATGCTGATGCCAGGGCACAGGTTTGGTCTGCAGGATAAATGGATTCGGTGTACAGCCTACGCTGTGACAATTCGATGCTGTCGGCCTTCACCAGGGCATTGCTTGCGAAGCCGCTAGGCATTGGTTTCATGAGGTACCGTCGGTTTGAAGGCCCAAGCAGTAAACCAGGAGAAGAATCCGTGAGATCTGTTGCAAAGAATCCCTGTCTCGATAACTTTGAGCTTAGAACACAGTATTATGTCTTGATGCTGCACGGAACCGCGACTGTGGCATCCTGAACTTCTTCTTGCTCTTGTGCACTGCGTTCATGGTTGAGATTAACGTACTGCTGTGTGCAGTGGCTTGTGCGACGGTCAAGTACTGTATGCATGCGCGGCAACCAAGGCGCAAAATCGCGCTACCTCGCATGCGCCAGCTACTTGTTATGCATGGTGCAGATGTTATCATTTGGGGCAACTTCTGTTCGTTGACAAGCTCGAACTGTATTTCCAGCTAGGAGCAGTGAGATCTATATACAGTAGTGGTAAGGCAAGAAATTTTATGTGAGTAGGCAGCACGGCAGCAGTTTCTTTGACATTATAAAAATCACTCTTTCTCCGTCCTGAGTTCGAAAACGTGACAGCGAAATGTATGACTTGCAGGACTATCAGCAGCTTTCTTGCTCTAGCCATGACATTCTCTGTTCCTCAGACCCTGAACCTCAAGTCACAGGAGCGGGAAAGCTCAAGAACTGACTCCTTCATCCGACACCAAAGGTTGGGATCAGAACGTTTACCTTCTCCGCATCTTCTGGAAGCAGAAGAAAGAGGTCAGACAGACTCCGCAGTGGCATCAGGACCTTGTCCTGTGTCGTGCTATCTAGCTCGAAGTTTGCCCGAACGGCTTCTGTTTGCAATGCCCTCTACAGTGGTGAAGATTTTGGGCCGGCATAAGAGGGGAGACGCCAACAAATTGTGCCTCCTCCAATCACCGTAACACCTGATTCAAGATGCTTCCATTGTTTGCAGTGGCGTGCTATACACAGGCGGGTTGGCACTGTTGCGGCCAACACTTTTGCAACAAATGCTGCGACGGCGCAGCCGCAACAGTCAGAGCCGCAACTGTCACTAGCTGCTGCTGCTGCTGCTGCTGCTGCTGCTGCTGCTACGAGTTATTATTATTATTACTACTACTACTACTTCGATTACTACGACTACTACGACTACTACGACTACTACTACTACTACTACTACTACTACTACTACTACTACTACTACTACTACTACTACTACTACTACTACTACTACTACTTCGATTACTACGACTACTACGACTACTACGACTACTACGACTACTACTACTACTACTACTACTACTACTACTACTACTACTACTACTACTACTAGTACTTGTAGTGCAATTCTACTGCCACTTGAACTACCGTCACCACGGCTTTCCTTGATGGTAGTTTTCCTTGAGAAGTTGCTGATGATGATGGTGACGGTGCGGTGAAGTCATGTTGTCAGGAGCCATTCTGATGTTTGCTCGTTTCTGCTTGTTCACATTTTACCTGACTGGAGCTCAGACACTACGGCCTCCATGCACAGAATTTCCCGACGGGTTTCGGTGCTTCTCCAATCTACGGCTCAAGTTTGTTAAACTGTCTGACAGTGTGTCGAGAACTAATCTTCTAACTCTTATCGTTCTTAGTGCTGCCGATCCCACGATTCTGAAACTTTGGTTAATGTCTTCGAGCCATGACTTGTCAATTTCGGCCGTCCTTAATTACATTGGCGTCATTGGTGCTACCAATGATGATGCGCCTGTGCGTTTGCGCAACTCTGACCGTCTCTGTCGTTTCAATCTGCTTCGACTGAAGAGATCCACATGTCTAGCCCCGCGACGGCGGGGAAGCCTTGACGGGACAGCCCATGCTATGCACCTTCGAGAACTCATTCCTGAACCCTGAAACCCTAGTCCCTTACTATACCCCCGTAAACCCGACTCTGAAGCAGAAGAGGCAGCTTTTCGAAACTGATTTGATTGGTCAGAAGCCCAAGCTCGTCAAGAGCCGAAGCCGCAAACAAAGGGAAATAAGTAAGCCCATAGGTAGCAAAATGGTACAGTTAAGTAGCTAGGCAGGCAAGGAAGGCATGCAAGCAAGGAAGCAAAGTAAGTCAGTAAGTGATCATGAGTGATTCAGCGACTCACTGAGTCGGTGAGTCAGCGAGAGTGAGAGAGGCAGAAAGAATGCAAAGCAAGCAAGCAGGCAGTCAGGTAAGGAAGGAAGGAAGGAAGAAGCAAGCAAGCGAGAAATACACTAACTAAGAGAATGCAAGTAAACAAGTCACAAGTAAAAAAATGTTAATCGAGCCAGTAAGAGGAAAGCAACGGTAAGGTATGTCAGATATTGTGATTGTCTGAATCATTCTACGACTAGCAAAGCGGGCAGTTGGACTGAGCGCAAATTACATGCTTACGAGGCCTAGGGCAGCCGGCAGGGAAACGATGAAATCCTTCAAACTAGGGGTTCCTGATTATGATTATAGTATAATAGACCCCCAAAACCCTATTCCGATTTAGTAAGGCCCCTACAGTACTGTAGAGGAAAGTTACGCAAGAAAGCATACAGCTGGTTAAGCCGCAAAGTGTGGGCTGTGTTGGAACCAGGTGTAAAGATGACAGGCAGATGAACACGAGCGTAAACTAGGACGACGGCGCTGACGGTATCGTTATGTTTCAGAACTTATCTGTCTGTCGTGCCCGTATGTTTGACTTGAGAACCCAAGTGCTGCAGGAAGTCGTCTTCAAGGGCGCGCTGTCGGGCAACTCGTCCTCACCCACGCACGTGATGTTCACCGACGACGCCCAGTTTGTTGTGCAGAGCTTAGTTCCAGTGCAAGCAGCTTAAAGCCGAACTGGCAGTTTTAACAACCCCACAACTAAGCCCCGAAGGCTTGCACGCAAATTCATCCGTAGCCATACCGATAAGAAGTGTTTCAGCATTGCTTCATCATTCCGCTTCCTGGAGCCAACCCAACGGACTGAAAGCGATGTCCAAGATCCTTGCTGGGTGGCGCTTTCGAACTCAAAGTCCGGATCACTTCTGAAGCAAACCTCAACCCTGGACCGCAGCTTGAGCTCGTTACGACCTGGCAAAAGCAAACATGCAGTTCAGTGTTCGGGCTGTGGAGATTCCGGTTTGGCAGTTGTTACGCAGGGTTTGGAAATTGAAGCCGTTCCTGCACATCTTTCTTAGAGTTGAAGAGCAAGTTCACAAGCATAAGGAAAATCATCACTTCAGGCACACCCCAGTTCATATTTTCGTTGTTACAGGAGTATTGCAATGCCAATGATGATGTTGATGTCGATGAAGGTGATGTCGATGATGATGATGATGATGACGATGATGATGATGATGACAGATGATCCCTGCCATTGCTGCTCGTAGTACCTGAGACACCAAGACATCGCACTGTCATGACAAGCTATACCGGGCAGAATCCAGGTGTCGACCTCGAAGGATCTGAATGTCCTAGTATGGAAGACGGGAACTGGAGAAGCTGCAGCTGCAAGCTGAGAATAGGAGCATATCATGGTTCAGGGGGACGGAGGGTTCCTCACTCCCGGAAACACAGATTGCAAGGCAAGGTGTGTCGAAGTGTGCTTCCTGATCTCTCCTATAGGGGCCGCAATAACTAGTGTGTTCATGACAGTTGTTCTTGTGTAAGGATTTGTGTGATCTTCGGGGCACGGTTTCTGCGGTATCATTCGGGCTTATATATGCAGGAGCGTAGTCGAGCTGTTGTAGTCGTCGTTCTGCACCCAACGTCCCTTGGCTTGCCGTTCCTGCTGAAAGAGGTTGCTCGGAGTCACTGCATGATGACCAACCTTACAGTTGTCAAGTGTTCCACAGCTCGTGAAGCTAATGTGGAACCTTGCAAAACCCAGCCCCGGAAAAAACAGAGGTCGCAATAATTAGAAGACATATTCCCTTATATAGTTTATAACACGTGCACAGTGTTGTTGCGGAGTTGTTACCATCACTTTTACGGTGCAATTTTGCATTCGCCTCCTTCAAGGACCTTGCGACTTCTCGCTCGTCGTAGACGTCCTAGAAGTTTACAGTTGGGTTTAGGCTCGCGGAAGAAGCTGGTGTGGCGGTAGCAGCAAGCAGGAGGGGATTGAATGTTTTTCACAACTGTGCCCGTGGTAGTGACAATGGTAGCACTTTAAAAATCAGCAGGAGCTGTTGCGACGAAATCCGAAATGGCAGCAAAACCAACAGAAGTACACCCACTTTTCTTTCGCCACCAAGGAGCGCATCAGCAAAATGTCATCGCTTCGAGATTCCCAGTTCTCCTGCTGGCGGTTACCTTTGGGATTCCCGGTGGCCGGAGCTTCTTATCTGAAAGCAACTAAAGCCGTTGAAGCCCTGCACGGGTTGGTTGCAGGAAGCTGACAGGGATCCTCAAGCTTCGATGTTGGGTCGACCCCGTGACGTCCTGGAAATGTCACTACGCGAGGACCTGGAAGAAGAAAGCCATGTGCAACCCTTTTGAAGTCTCACTCCTTCACCCGTTGCCCCATGGCCAACAGACGCCAAACCCAGAGCAGCACTCCACAGCCAGGGCACACCGCTTTTGGACTCTAGACTCCAGACTTTAGACTCGTTAAACTCATCAGCAAACTCTGTGGCTCTGCCGGGCTGGAGGGTAAGTGGTGAGGAAGCACATCGCATGCATACATGCGCGGGAAGCTTGATTTTTTGTCATTTGCCTCGTTGCCTTCATTGAAACGGCTTGATGGAGTGACTCTGAATCCCATATCAGCTTGGAACACGCCTGTTTACAGCCAAAGTCTACAAGTCTTAAAGATTCAGCAGCCCTCCAGCGTTCTGCATTCGAGCTAGGTTTTTGTTGCTTCGTCCACAGCACCCTGCTGAGAACGAAACGGCTAGGGAAGCCTTGCCAGACCCTTCACGCTCCCTCCTCTGCTCTAGCCAACAACTGCTGCTTCTATTCCATGGGGTTATCAATTGTAGCGAAACGTATAATGTACCCCAGACCCTATGCCAAGTAACCATTCATGATGAAGGTTGACACACTGTAGGATAAGATCTGCAGACAGCACCCGTGCGAGGTTTGGAGACAGGAATATGCCCAGTCCGACGTAAATGCCGTCTGCCAGAGCCATGCATCAGGCTCGCCTTCGGCTCTTGGCTTTCTTCCTGGTCACAGCGTTTCAGCCCAGGTGTAGTGTATAAACCTTTGAATAACGCCATGTTCGCAGATGTCTTCATGAGGGCTCCGAAGCAACGCCATACCGCCCGTGTCGGATACATGACGGAAGTCTCCTATGCCTCAACCCTGCTTTCGGATGCATTATTATGTGTGATGCAGCCCTTGGGGTTCAAGCTTTCGGCTGTGAGCTTGGAGCCAGTTGCTACAACCTCAGTTCAGTTCGGTCCCAATAACAAGCCTTCTCCCCCCATGCGCACAGGAGAGTACTGAAAAAGAGGGTTTAACTGAAGCAACCAACTAATCGCATGTACCAGAGACGTAGGTACACGCAAGCAACTACGACCATCAACGCAAACATTGCTGTTCGCTATTAATTTGACTCTCCATTACAGCGTGGTCGCACTATGGGATGCCTACATTCAGAGCAGTGAAAGAGGGATTATGGGTTACTGCGTGTCGTGGGCACTCGGGTAGTAGTGGCAGCAGTAGCAGTAGTACTGTACTAGTAGTAGTCGTCGTAAGTCGTCGTAGTAGTAGCAGCAGTAGCAGCCGTCGTCGTGGCAATCGTCTCGTCGTCTCGTGGTCATCGTCCCAGTGGTACGAGGAGCTGCAGCAGCAGCTTAGGCACTATTCGCTTCCATTTCTATTCTTGCTGCTGTCCAAACAAGAGTGGGGCAAGAGCTAATCCGACAGGTCCTGGCCCCGCTGCTGGAGAGGTCATAGCAGTCGGGGATGACCAGGGCGCCGTTTGGCTGTACCGCCCGGCTGGCACTTTCAGGGGGATGGGTGGGAAGGGAGGATCTTGATGTTTGTGGTTCGCACTTTATGATTTATGCTTTGAGGTTCCGGCCCTTGGCCATGATCACGCCGCCGCAGAGTCTCTTTTCGAAAGACCACGCAACATCCGGGCATCATCATTATGATTTTTGCGCGGTATGAGTATGTTTAGTCTTGCTGCTTTCTGATCGCTATACTGCGGTCGTCATTTTTGTATTATAAGTACAGTGCCTTTCATTGTGCTAGATCGCAGCACGTTCAGTCTGAGTGCTGTGGTAATTGTCATGACTTGACAATCACTGCGACTCTCATATGGGCTGCGCAATGTGTAAACGTAGCATTTCATATCTCGAGAAGGAAGATATGTCGATCGAAACCAATGGCCAGGCTTTCCGTCGCCTCTATCTCTGGCTGCGGGGCGGGAGTGCCGACCTCGGCAGACAAAAACAACCTCCGTCTAAGATGCCGAGGTTCGGAGCGTGACGTAAGGGCTTTGGGGATGATCATGGCTTTTACACCGTAAGTCTCGTAACCTAGAAACCACTACCATACTACCCGAATAACCTGAGCCCCGCTGATGCAGCACCCAGACGTCCGAACCCTCGTGCTCATGCCGCCACATACCCGCTCGAGTCGTAAACCTACACCGGCAACCCCCGGAATTTAGATGCTTGCCTGATCTGAGGTACCTAGGCCATGCATCGTTTGTCGGGACCCCGGAGTGGAGTTCGGCGGCCGTTTTGGGACCGGGTTTTGTCGGTGAGCCATGAGTGTGAGGGAGCTCAGAGCTAGAGCTTAGGGGCCCGTGAAGTAAGGGATCTCTATGTAGATCCTGATCTGGATACGGTGATACGGTCAGAAATCGCCATGAGTTAGGCGACTCAGTCCAGTCCTGCGTTTGGCACCTAGGAAATTCGGCTGCTTTGCATTCACAGGGTGTGCAAGATCTTGGACCTGGTTATATTCAGGCAGCCTCTTAGCCTGTACATTGTGCGAAACTCAAGACTCAATACTCCAAGCCTCGTGTCATCGCTGGATCTGGATCTTACGACTTGACGAGGTCACGAACCTACAGTTCACTCCAGGCCTTGTCGGCTTCTGCTTGTCCGTGGCTGAACCGAACCCGTGAAATTCGGATGCCTCTTGAGTACACTTCTCCTAAACTCTGAAGCGAAGCATGAACGCTCAACTTGTGCAACCGTGGCAACATCGCAGCACATCATTGAATCAGCATTGCATCATAACAAGGCCGCCGAGGCATTGTTGAAAGGCACCAATGCTGTCTGCATGTCTGCGAGGGCTAGATTTAGCCGCTTAGCTTGAAGCGCAGACCCCAACCGGTGGCCCGGAAGACCTCACCAGAAAGAAAACTCGGACTCCAGTCATACACAAACACACGCAGACACACACACACACCACACACACACACACACAGACGCAGAGACACAGACACAGACGCAGACACAGACACAGACACACACATATACACAACACACACACACACACACCCTCTCAGACAGACAGAGCACAGATGCACATACGTTGCAGATCAGGGGTAGGCGTACCGCTTGAAAGCTGCAGCCCATGCTAGCCAGGCAACATTCTGCTGACCGTGGGCGGCAACGACCACACGGTTATGCAGTCGGTAACTTAGGGCTGGAACAGACGCGATACTTCGGTGTGCAACTCCGGTGAATGTTGCTACGTTGCTACGCGTCTCTGTGGCCCGAAGACACAGTCGGCGCACAGTGTTTGAGTGGGGATGTTTTGGGGATCTGTGAAAAATCGTGACTCATGAGTTTCTGCCGGGCTGGAACCTTGGGTTTTTTCAACTGTGTCCGTAAATCCTCCGACGTGTTGCGGGTTTCTTGGATGCATCAGATGTTGCACTTGTAGAACTCGTTCGCCAACCAAACATCATAGCGACGCTGCATCCGGCTATCCCTACCTGTCCGAATTACAACCGACTTGAACTTTCAAACTGCAGCAGAGACCGCTTCCACGCTAGGGTTCCTTTGTTTCCGGGTCAGCAGTGAGACTGGCAATCAGGAAAACCTTGGCCCAAGCCCGAGCTGCAAGGTGGCGCATGAAGCCCATGCCCAAGGCTTCTTGCTCGCAAGCAGCGGCTTCAGGCTTTTAGGGCAATTCATAACATGATCTGAACAGTTCCTAGTATTGTCGTCTTACAGTTCGACTACTCTTATGCTGCAAAATACGCCCAAACCCTGTTCCAAAAGTAAGAACCCGAGAAGTCTTTGGAGAATCTCGGGCAGGGATTTCAGGGTTTGTGGCCCTCTGCAAGCCCTCTGCACTATACGCTCTGGACCTGTAATCCTGAACCCCGAAGCCCAGAGCCTTTGGACCTAAGGACATATAAGCGAAAAGCCAAGAGCGTGAAACAGTTGCTCAAGCTATGCATCTGTAGGTATTGTACTTATGTATGTATGTGTGCATGTATGTACATGTGTATGTGTGTATGTGCGTGTGTGTAGACATACATATATATATATATATATATATATATATATA